GTTTAAACATCACACCTTGACCAGTGTTGAATGTTATTCCCATGTGACTTTAAGCTCTTTACCACACAATACTTAAACATAAACAAGCACAACTGATTCAGTAACAGATAAATGTGATGGGCTCTCTCATTTGCCGATACCGACTGATATATCAATAAATATGGTGAATATTGGCCAATAACAATATTCTATTGACATTTGGTGCCTCTGGAATGAACACAGTTTAAATTGTTTATTATTCAAAAAAAATAATGTTATTAAAACTGTTGGCTGGCAGGAGGGAACGTGCAAAGCAGCATGTCAACCATGATGTGTCACAACAGGAAACTGTATGTGTGCGAGTTTCTATTACTGCTTCTTTTCATGCACACAGTCACAAACGTTTTGTGCTTGAGACATTTTCATCGGATTCACATCATTTGTTCATAAACACTTGGTGCACCTCATAGTAACTTATTACATGTTTCATATTTGAAAAACAAATCTGAAAACTCGCTGTTTGTCATGCGTGAACTGCTGGTAAATTAGAAGTAACCACAGGTCACGTACTTCATGTAGCTTACGAGTTACAAACATGTAATGCACGCTCACGTTTCTCACGTCCCTTCAACAGGAACTATGTCTTCATTTGTACCATGTGTTTCTGCACGTATTCAGCATTAAAAAAATAATGTTCTGGGTTCACGGAGGCCATGGGATACCACATGTATGTGAAAGGAGAAATAACTGCAACAGTGATTGTGAAACAGCTTTGTTGATGACTTCTTTTTTTTTTTTTGCCTGTCCCGTTTGGCCCGTTGGCCTTGCTGTAATGGTCTATTTGATTCACGTTTTATTGTTTGTTTTATTTTATTTTCACTTGTTAAATACGGGACAGACTTGACTGGGGAAAAGAAAAGGGAGAAAGAAAGGGAAAGAAAAACAGCGGGGAAGAGGGACGGGGATAAAGGGCAAAAGACAAAAACCAACTAAATAAGCAGACAAAAAAAAATACGTATATGAATCACCTGGATCACCTGTTGAGAAATAAAAAAGAGAAAACAAGCAGAAGAAAACGAGAGCAATACAATAAACAACATCATGATGATCTATGGGAATATAACAGTAAATACTAAATATTAAACATTATTGTGCAGCA